GGGAATTCTGGGAGTTGAAGTCCACGTGTCTTAAAGTGGATTTGAGAAACACTGGTCTATAGTTTCATTTCACAGGGTATCAAAAATAGAAGTGATTTTTATGAATGTGGACAGAATTGATTATAGCCAATAAATTTACTTGGTATATACTGTGTTGAGCACAGTTCTTGATATTCATTTGGTTAGAGTTTAAATAGTGATTTATAGTCTGCAAAAGGGATATAAAACCTTGAGTTATTTGCAACTAACTATGTTCTCCTGTAAAAATCACAACCTGCACGATGTTTCTACATCCCTTGTTGATTTATCCATGGTGTATTTCTCATTCTCTCTTCTTGCCCTCCAGTGTTTGCTTATCGATCTTCTTTAAAGCTCAACAAAGTGTATGGGCTGGGACTGTACGGTAAATAAATGCTGATTGTTGATCGATTACTCAAGAAAAATAAAGAAAAGATGCTCTTTTTTTTTTTGCAAAAGTTGCTGGAGGAAGCCAGGCAACCGGGACTGAAGCCAATGAAGGCAACTACCAGCTTCAGCAGTTCTTCAGTTAACATGGAAAAGATTTGCCTGCTGGTTCATCATAGCCGCACAAGTTTCGGTGTGTTTTTAACCCACAACCCACAGGAGGAAAGGACTAATTTCCATACGCCTCCTTGAGAAACTAGTAAATAAGCCAAAAGCAGATGTTTATCTAAACCTGTGGGCCCAATTCTTTGGATTTCAAGTTGCAATGCAGGGAGAGCCTCAGCCGATGCACAAGACTTCCAGCTCCTGTTCTTCGCTCCTTCGGGGGCAAGAGACCAGTGACTCTCTGTAATCTGCCGGCTTTAAAACAGTAAGTGCTTGATTTACTATTTGGTTGGTGATGTTTTTCCAGCCCCAGTTTATGTCCGTTTATGACTCGTTGTTTCCTGTTTTGTATGAGGACCATAGATGTCTTTTTCCATCCTCATATATCTGGGGTTCAATTTTGGTGACTGGGTTCTATGATTTTATTTTGTGGGCTATATTCCATTTTCACTTCGTGGTCTTAGTATGGCTGTGGGTCTGAATTTTTGCTTATTTATTTTCAGAGACCGAAGTTTTATGAGATCGTAGTAAGTTACTACATTAAGATAATCGGTTTAGCCTCATTTCTGTTTCTGGAAAAGGCCAGCTCTCTGCTGGACAACATTTTTTTAAAAAATTAATTATTCAGTTTATACATGCACAATTAACAAGGCAATTGTACATGCACAATTAACATTAAAATGCTGAGATCTATAAATTAAAATTTCATTTTCTTTTT